ACCGAACCGTGCCCACCCCTACCTATATATATATATAAATATTAAAATATTAATTCCAAACTTAGAGATATAAATAAAAACAAATAAAAATGTTAGTTGAAACATACTAAATAACTAAAAAAATAGGCGGAGAAGTAGACTAGTACGTAATTTAATACTCCCTCCTATTCAAAATAAATGTCGTTTTGAGAAGTTGCACAGTTATTAAGAATAAATTTTTTGTCAATAATAACCCTCATTAATGAGGATAGAGATAAATGTTTTGAGAAAAGATGAAGAGTGAATATGAAAAGGCGTAGTGTATTTATTAACTAAATGAGGGTAATAATGGAAAAATATGTACAATATATCCAAAACGACATTTATTTTGTTAATAATTGATAATGCCAAAATGACATTTAAAAAGAATAGGAGGTAGTAATAACTTATACTAATAACTTATAACTATATAGATTTTATTCCAATGAAAAGATATCCAAATTCCAAGCGCACTTGCGCCTTCAATTAATTTGCTACTCATGCACTTGATTTACGGTAGTTAATTGACCAGTTAATTAATCTAATTATTATCAAGTCCAATGCAGTCTTGAACAACTACTTCTCTAGTGCCCTAGGGCTAGGCTAGTATACAAATTGCACCGAGGCTAACTAGAGAATCTTCATTAGCATCATTTAGGTAATGAAAAGTAAAGTAAAATTGATTCTATCATACAAATCCAATCTTTTTGTCCACACATTACATTAATCAAATTCCATCATTGGGTATATTGCTAGGTCAAAAATTCTATCAAGCATCGGATGATTTTCTTATAGGGCCATCAATCACTTAATGTATTGACATCTGTCCAAAAATGCATTTATTGTAAGACATATGTCGATACACTATTTGTGAATAACTGTGGATGTCTTTATAAGCTGAGCCATCCTATAGTTCTGTAGCAAAACTGATTGTTAGGTTTTCACTATTTTACGGCCACTCCTTGAAATAAGTTTTCGTCAAAAAATACTTGAAACCATAGCGAAGAAATTTTTTGTTTTTGTTTTTTGTTTTTTCAAGTATACAGACTACTACAAGTCATTGTGTATGTGGGGTTTTGGTATTCACAATGAATGTAAGCAAATGTATAACAAACTCCATGTCTCCATCTGATATCAATCAATCATGGCTCAGCTTGTGTATTTTCCCTTTTATTACTCTCTCACACAAACAATCATCCTTCTCTAACTCATTGGATGACCCCAACTGACCATCACCAACCATGCCATTGCCAATTGCCAGCCCCATCTCTCTCTCATCCATGTGCAAGCTGTGATAGATAATTTCTAAATAAAAAAAAAGTTTGCCTTTTTAGTTCTTGGTTTTGCAGAGCATTAAATATTTGCATGTAGTTTTTCTTTGCCCTTGTTCGCTGTACCCACCAATTATTTATTACGTATTTTTTAATTAATTTTTCTAATCTGGGCTCTCACCACAATATTTCTACTCTGTTCCTGTTGTTTAGATTTGCCTCGAGTTTACTTCAAATACACACCACTCTGCAGAAGCCACCTCATTTTCAATCACCTCTTTTTTTTTTTTTTCTTTTTTCTTTTTTGTCGATTTTTGAGTTTAATTAACCATTTCCCCCAGTCGACTGTTTCCTCACCAATCGCCATACTCGAATCCTTCAAGTTCCCTACCCTATTGGGTTTTCAGAATTTTTTCACCAATGCCCTTTTTAGCTGTAATTAATAATCATAAGAAGAAGAAGGTCTTCAATTCTTGAATCACTGAGCTTTGGATCTGCTTATTTCTGCAAATCGGATTTGGGATTTTCTTGTTTTTCTTGTTTTTTTTTTCTTTTTCCATAAATGCATCCGATTCCGATGTGATGTGCTGCTGTTCCTCGAAGTAACCGGATTTTTGCTAAAGCGTCGGTGGGTTAACAGAAAATGGCGAGTTTGGTCCCCGGAGTTTTGCTAAAGCTACTGCAGCACATGAACACGGAGGTGAAAGTCGCCGGGGAGCACCGCTCCTGCGTGTTGCAGGTCGTCAGCATCGTCCCCGCCCTGGCCTCCGGCGGCGAGCTTTTCCCCAACCAAGGGTTTTACCTCAAGGTCTCCGACTCCTCCCACGCCACCTACGTGTCCCTGCCGGACGAGCACGACGATCTCATCCTCAGCGATAAGATCCAGTTAGGTCAGTTCGTACACGTGGAGCGACTCGAGGCCGCCTCCCCCGTCCCCATCCTCCGAGGGGTCCGCCCCGTTCCCGGCCGCCACCCGTGTGTCGGGACCCCTGAAGACATCGTCGCCACTCATTCCCTAGGGTTCCTCAGCAACGCCTCGCCCTCCAATCCCAAATCGCAGGGGAACAAAAGTAGTAGCAACAGTAATTATAAGTCGGCGCACAAGAAAGATGACGGCACCAGTACAAGTTCTAAAGAGGAAAAAGTGTTGGTTTCAGATAAGAAGAAGAGTCCTCCTGTGTTAACTCGGTCAAAATCCCAGCTGTCTAAACCGGCTTTGTTGCTGGACGTGAGGAAGGAGTCTGTGGGGAAAGTGAAGCCCTTCTCAGGAGGGTCGAGGTCAATACCCTCGTCCCCGACTAGCTGTTACTCGTTGCCGACTTCATTTGAGAAGTTTGCGAATGGGGTTAAGCAGCAGGCAAAGATCAAGGAGAAGGCGAGCCCCGTTCGTGGGGGGAGCGTGATTGGGAAGAAGGTTCCCATTGGGAATTTGGTGAGGAGTAATATTGTGCAGGGATTTGAAATTGGGCCTAAAGCATTGAGAAAGAGTTGGGAAGGGAATATAGACTCCAAGGGCAGAGAGAGCCCCAGATTGAAGGGTGCCAAGAAGGATTTGAGGTCCCAAGTACGGAGTACTTCTGTAAGTGACAGCTTAGAAGCATTTATTTGAAAATATGATACAAAGCTAAGTATATTCGGGTTTCCTTTTAAATGTACATAAATGGAGTGATGGATTACTTTCAGTTGGTGTTTTTTTGTGTTTCCTCATTAGTTTCTCTATGTGCAGGCACCTAGGAAATCAATAAGTGAAAGGTCGACATCGAAAGAAGATAATAAGACCGCTTCTCTGAAACTGACGAGAGAGGTAAGTAATGTGCCTGCACCTGTAAAGAAAGCCTCTACGAATGGAGATATGCCCGAAGTCAATAAACCAGCTTCAAGGACAACTGGAAACAAATCATCCGGGGAGACTGCCAATAATGGAATCCCTGGAAACTTGGTCAAGGTTTCTTTAAGTAACAGGCGGCTGACAGATGCAAGTGCTTCATGGGCCTCACTGCCATCTTCTCTTGCTAAACTTGGGAAGGTATACCTTTTAATTTATTTCTTTCATACAGTACCTATCTGTAAATCTTGAAAAAATGAAAGTTGCTTTTGAAATTAAAATATGCCTTGACAAAATTAGATGTAAATGGTGACAACTTTATGAGTTTCTTGGCACTTGCACTTGCATGATTTCTCATTTTGGAAAATTTTCTGACCCATATACCAGGAAGTCTTGAAGCACAGAGATGCTGCACAGACAGCTGCCATAGAAGCAATGCAAGAAGCTTCGGTTTCAGAAACTCTGCTTAGATGCTTGAGGTATTTCTTGTAAACGAATTTTGAGAAATTGTTTTATTTTATGCTGATTGAATCTGTACAGTGTTTATGTAGTTATTGGTTTATATTTAGGGAAATATTTTTGCAATTTGCAGTTTTAACTTATAAGTTCCCTGAAAATTTGTCTTTGAACTTGTTCTGGGCCATGCATTTAGTGGGTTCTGTATATGTGTACCATCAGCATTGTAGTTTGATCAATGGAGCCTGCCTGGTGGCATTTAGTTGTAGGAAACATGTCGGTTAGTAAATCTATATTGTTTCAATTTATTGCAGAATATTTTGTATACAACCATTAGGCAAAACCGCAAAAGTAGTTATAATTACCTGCCATTTAACTATGTAATCTTTCTTTCTCAAGACAAAAACCATTTTCCTGACGTTGCCTGCAAAAATAGTTTTGTATAAATGATTGTAGGCGTTAGAGAAAGAAACTATGTTGGTCGGAGTCGGATATGAGTGATGGACACGCTGAAAAGGTTCCAGAAATTGGGCACAGGCACATGTTGGCCAATAAATTTTAGATATATATATGGAGTGGTTCCAATGAGACCTATTCTTAATGCGAGAATGTGGGGATCAGTCACAACCATCCATTGGTTCAGATCTAATGGATGTTAATTGGTTATAGAAATGAATGCCTTCATCCCTCTAACTAAGCATCACTGAATATGTAAATATGCATCAATAGTGCTCACTTAGACAGGCAATAGTTCGAAATTCAAGTTTTTCTTATCTGTTTAATGTTTTTAATTTTTATTTGTCAGTACTCAATTATTCACCAACATTTTTAATGCATATTTAGAAGTCCATGAATGCACATTTATGTCTTTAGATGACTAGAATTAGAATTTGGACTCGTGTTCCTATTTTAAAAGTGATTCTCATTTGAACCATATCCTCTCTATATATATCCCCCTATATATTAATCCAGAATGCGCTGAGCCTACATGGCTGCTTCTGCTTCTGGTGCTTCGGAATCATATGTGGTAAAATTACATGCTTCGGGTAAATTTTAATTTAATTTCAAACAAAAAATAATTAGGTTCTGCTGACCATAAATATGTTGATTATTTATGGTCATGTTACATGTGTTAATTGTATTTTAATATCATTCCTTATTATAACTATTGAATTGTATATATATTTTAAAAGTTAATAACTTTTGTATTTTTTATCAGTTTTACATATGTAATATATCAAATTAATCTTCTTTTGATAAGCTTCGATGTAACATCCATATTGTATGTATAAAAAAATAATTTATATTTATCTTTATAACAATAATAAATAATTTTTAATATTAATTAGAAAAATAAAATTATTTATCAACTAATATATTTATATTTATTTATATTTCAAGTAGTTATATGATACTCCCTCCTATTTCTTTTAAATGTCATTCTAGCTTTATCAACTATTTGTCAAATAAATGTCGTTTTGGATCTTTTCTACATATTTTTCCATTATTACCCTCATTTAGCTAATAAATACATTACGTCTTTTTATATTCATTCTTCACTTTTTCTCAAAACATCAATCTCTATCTTCAATAAATAAGGTTATTAGTGACAAAAAAAATATTCTTAATTAACGTGCAACTTTTCAAAACGACATATATTAAAAATAGGAGGTAGTATAAGTTATAAAAACTAATATAATATAACACATGTAAGTCATAAGTAAACATATCATTCTAAAATATATAGTAATATATATATTTTTTTTTTTTTTTTGGTAAAAAAGTAAACTAAATTTAATATAGTTTTCTCATTAATTTTAAAATTTAAGAATAATTTTTTAACAAGCACCCGTGTAATACACGGGTGTTGTACTAGTATATATATATGTATCACATTTAACCTTCTAATATATCACACACACACACACACACACACATATACATATATATATCTATATATTACATTTAACCTCCTAATATGGGCGTATATAAACAAAATATGCGTGCTATAAGTTTACTAAAAGTATCAAAACTTGAAACATATAGAACTTGCAAATCCGGAGTCATGTATGAGCACATAGGTGGAGTGCCCAAATACTTTCTCATGTATCTGAAACATTTCCTAATATCACGTCTGGTATCAAGATATGTCAACACGAGCACTTAGCCTAAAAATGAAAAGTCTGAGCAACACACAAATTCATATGGTACTGGTGGGAAACTAAAATGAGTAGGAAGTGTAAGAAAAAAAGAATCAGGGACTAATAATAATACAAGCTATTATGGTGGCAAATTTGTTTCCCATATGGCTCTCCTGATCATTCTCATGCTGGCTACACCCTCTATATTTTGTAGCCAAACATTTCATTTATTTCTAAAAGAGTCGTACAATTAAGAGCGCTAAATGGAAACGGGGGGAAACTCTTAAGCCAAGCACCCCGATGTGACGGGAATACTAGTTTGATTGTATATTTTAATAGCAAATTCTTTCTATTATGCATACTTAATGCTCATGTTTTTATGCAATCACGTAACATTTGTTGTGGTATTCTCACTTCACAGCTCCTTTGGTTTTGTTACTTCCTTGCTAGATTATCTGTCTACGGAAATATGGTGAATTTAGAAATGACATGAAGATTCGAAACAATATTGATTTAACATTCCCATGCTTGACATATAGAAGGGGTGAAAAGGAAATGGAATCTTTAGATGGCTTCTCCGATTTCGATCCATGAGATGTCATGGTAATTACAAGTCTAAGGTTTAGCTAAAAAGTAAAAACAAATAACTCCTTATGTTTCTTTAAGTCGATACATTCCTTGTGTTTTGTTTCCTTTCCCATTAAAAAAAAAATTATGAAGATCCTTTTAATGATTTTGGTTTTGTTTTCCATGTCACCTGAGACTTCTTCCTCACTCAAAATTGATTTGTTAGCTAGTAGTTGTACAAAAGCCGTTAGTTAAAAAATTTGTATTAAAAAAATTTAAAAATAAAATGATTATTATTATTATTTTTTTTTTTTATTTTTTATTTTTTTATCATTAGTAGTTGTACAAGAGCCGTTAGTAGTACAAAAACCTTGATAAAATGATTTAACATTCCCATGATCAGGAGATGTTTCAAGTACATCTTCAAAAAATTAGAATATAATTTGTTTAAAATGACACCCCTCACATTTATGATTTGCTCATCTGTATTGTAATAACTCCTCTAGCTCATATTGAGGTTTGATAGATTAATTAATTAAATTTGTAAAAAATAATTTTATTGTTTTTCAGCTAGGACGGATAGATAATTTAATATGTATTTGTAAAGTTATATATAATAATTTCTTTTATTTTATTCATGCAATGAAGATGTCAAATCGATGCGTGTCAAACGACATGGAAAATTTGAACAAGGAGCTCTCACACAGTTGTATGCAGACTGCAGTCCTATGTTCCGTTACTTGTCATAAACGAAATCATGTTGCTACATTTAGTTTTGTAGTGCTTCATAGGTATAGTATTTTACATTGAGTTATTGCTATGGGCATGAATGTGAAATTAATGATATTGGTGTTGGAAATTGATGTAAATTTATTTTATCTGTATTTGGCATCTATAATTAAGGAAGAATTCTAATTTACTTATTATGCTCACTCAAAAGCACATATATATGCTTAATGGTCATTTGGTTAACTGAAAAGTAAGAAAAAATACTATTGAAGAAAATCATTCGTATCCTGAGTAGTATAATTGAGAACTGTTTATTTTTTGAGAACTTACTTTTAAGTGCCCAATTTAGGTTTAGTTTATTTGTGTTATTTAGTGTCTTTTATCATTAGCACTTTCATGTGAATGGTTTTGTTAATGTCAAGAACATTATTCAGTATCCGAATTGGTACTTAAAACAGGCATATCATCATCAGTGAAGATGGTTGATGTTAATTATAATTTTGTAGGAAAGAGTCGGTTTTTGTTGATTTTTCCTTGGTTGAGAACTTGGTGTGTTGTATCAAGCGTTCTATTTCTCTCACTGCTTGCGTGTTACTTACCTTGCAGTACGTATTCCGAGCTGAGTTTGTCCGCGAAAGAAGACAACCCACAGCCGGCCGTGGAGCAATTCTTGTCCCTGCACGAAAATCTAAACAAAGCGCAACTCATTGCAGATTCCCTCTCGAAAATCATCTCTTACGAAGAAATCCCATCTGAAGAGACTCTGAAAGTCACATCTGACGGCCGCAAACAAGCCGCTTCATGGGTCAATGCTGCCTTATCCACCAATTTGTCGTCTTTCACTGCATACACTACCAAACCCACTCACAAGCCAATCACAGGAGGGGGGAATCAACCTGTAATAGTCCTCGACAACCCAACAAAGAGCACAGCCCAAAAGGCACAAACAAAAACCCGCCAAGTGTCAAATGCTGCTTCTACTTGGGGAGTTGGAGTTGGAGTCGGGCGTAAACCGATTGAGTGGGCCAAGGGAGACGGGCTGGAAGAGGCCGTTGAGCTCTCTGAGTTGCTTCGGTTGGAATCTCAAGATTGGTTTCTGGGGTTTGTGGAGAGATTCTTGGACATGGATGTGGATAACTCATCTTTGTCGGACAATGGCCAAATAGCCGGGATGCTGAGTCAGCTCAAGAGTGTGAATGACTGGCTAGACAAGATTGGGGGTGCCAAGGATGATGAAGAGGGAATTTGTTCAGAGACAATCGACCGGATTAGGAAGAAGATTTACGACTATCTCCTCACGCACGTTGAGTCCGCAGCTGCAGCCCTCGGTGGCGCTACTACACTCTCGTCCGAACCCAAAACAAGAAGGTGATGAATTGTGTTCCAGCTCTGGCCTCTATATATATTTGTTACTGTCTTTAGTGTCTGAAAGTTGGAGGAGTTCGTACGTATACTATGATTTGAAGATGTATATAATTTAATTTTTCATTTTGGTAAAAGGTAATGAGGTATAGATTGAGTAGGCAGGCATATGAAGGGAAGCTGGAAAGTGAGATGAAGATCAGAAGATTTGGTCCTCTCCACCTTTAGTTAATTTTCAATTTTCTTGGGCTATTTATGTTTCATTGACATTATTGGTAAACTATCTTCTTTGCCATGTTGGAAGTTTGTTTGTGATACAAGTTGGGTACTTCTAGGCTTGTTCAGTGAGACTTTGTATGAGTCAATCTCTATTAACCCTTGGATCCTGCTTATATTTAATCATAACAGTTCATTACAAATACAAAGGTACAAGGTACAAAGATGATTTGTACTCTTCTTATACTTGTTCTTACTTTAATTTGGTGTTTAGTAAATTACATCGTTCCTATTATACCTTGATAAAATGATTTTACGAAAAAGTAAAATAAAATATTGTAACTTTAAAACTTATTTATATTATTATTTATCTAAAAATAATTTAATGTTGAATCATGAATCAACCCCACGGAAATTGTTAAATTAAAAATCAACACATTATTATTTTCTTACAATTTATATAACATCTTCCAAAGTTTTTGAAGTTCATATCATTTTGTTGTGATTGTTCTGTATCACACAAATGCAGAACAGAAATTCTTTGCTATTTCCTTTTTTTGTTTTTTTTTCGATTAACCCTTCTCCTTTACCAAAAAAAAATGCTTTTATTTCAACAGTCTGTAGAAACTTATGTGTTGTAAATAGGTGGACCTAAGTAGAACCTGCTTGTAGAAGTGGTGGGCTCTTGTTGTTTTGGGAGGATTGTATCCTAGTCTTTCATATAATCAAAAGCTCCTTTTAATATAGAGATTGAATTCTAAGATGAAGAAAAAGTTGTAACTTACGGGAATCTTCTTATATGCACCTTCACTTAAGGAAAACCAATGGGAGTGTCCAGTTTCTGAGAAGCACAAGTGTTGAAAATTGTAGCTTTTAGAAGAAGGCTACATTAATTTAACCAAGCCAGAGGATAAAAAATGAGGAAGAATTAGATCACCAGATTCTTGTCAACTCTTTAATGACTTCATCTCCTACATGGGAATGTTGGAAGTTTGGAATGTCAGGTTAAACATTCACTTGGGATAACAACGGAGGACTTGAAGGTTTTGTCGAAGAGAAGATAGACAGGATTTTTGGATTTTTTTATTTGAGCATTATCCACTCTGCAGATTAAGTGACTTAACATATTCAGAAGCTCCTACTTTGAAGTGTACCTACTTCTAGAATTCATAAGAAAAAATTCTAGTTTGACAACAAATGGATTGAAAAGCAGGGGGTAAATGAAGCAGTGGCCAAGGCTAGGCCTAATCCTCAAGATGTCACTCATATGTTCTGTCTCCAATCCAAAATCAGAGAAACCAGAATGAATCTCCTCAAATGGAGCAATTCTTTCAGATCTTAAAATGCCTCCGAAATAGAGGACCTCAGTAGCAACTTGGAGTACTGAGTAAAGCAAGGGGTCTCACAGGCTGGAGTCTGTGAGATAAACTCAATAAGGATCTCAATGAAGCTTACAGTGTGGAGGGAGGACCCAAAAATCCAGAATCTCTTAGTTAAAACATGGTGAAAAAAAAAAACTCAAGGTATTTTATGTACACATAGTTCAAAGGACGAAGTAGGATCAGAGACTTACCAGAGAACACCAAACATATTATGAAATCAAGGATGAAATCGCTCACTACATTGAGTATTTTTACAACCAGCTCTTCTCTTCAGAAGATCCTTCTACTGGAGATAGACTGTTGTTTGTCCCATTCTTGTTGCGTTTTTCGTGTTTATTTTATCTTTCTTTTTCCCCCGTTTATGTTGTTTATTTAGTTTTTAGCCCGTTTCGTGTTTTATTATGTGTTTTCCTTCATGTTGAGTCATTAGGTGTTTTTTGTTTGTTTTTCCGGTTTTCTTTTGTGTTTTATCGTTTTTGGTGTGTAGGTCAAAAGATTCGGGCGAATTTTTTCTTCAGGAAAAGTTGGTTTCGAGAGCATAACTGGATAAAGGGGTTCGTTAGCGACGCATAGGAAAAAACAGAACTTAATTCCGAGTTCGGACGAGCTCAAACGAGGCGAAAACGCAAAATGGCGCAGCGCAGCCCAGAATCTCGCGAGTCGCGAGCACAAAGTCGCGAGTCGCGAGTTTTAGTCGCAACTCGCGAGAGAAAAGTCGCGACTCGCGACATCAACAGAGCCTCCAGCAGCCCAGC